CTATTTAAACTTATCTGACCACCACACAGAATATGAAGAATATCAAAAACTTTAGGAGTCAGCTGTCCACGAAAGTCCTTAAGGTAGCAGCATGATAACACTCTCAATCAATTGAATGAATGACTCAATACTCACTCATTAAGTGACTTACCGTCACTTACTGGTCGTTTAGTTGAGAAGTTTGTTGAAAAGTGTGCATTTTCCCCCTCAACATTTCTTATTTGTATACTCATAAATGCATTTAAAACATTAATCTCATAACATTATTTATTGCAGTTGTAATTACTGTTATTTGCAGTGTAAATAATTTAATCTGACTGGTAGCAGCCCTATAGTGTATATTGAATTTATTGATAAATTGTAATAATTTGACAGGTAAGATGATGCATACATCTAAAAAGGTTAAAAATAGGCCTTTGTAAAGGTAAATATGCAGATTTAAGTATGTAAAAGCTGATAGAACACTGATGAAAATATTGCTTCAGAATAAATTGTTTACTCCACCAAAAATCTCAGTGATGCAGTTATTTTGCAGGGATATTTTGTATGGAATATTGTCTGCTGACATGAAAAGTTCACTGTATATCGTAGTAATAAATACCATTTATTACAGCATTGATATTTTGTTTTCTTTTTAATTTATACACATTAAATATTACATATGTATGTAATAAAATGTGTATTTCCATTACAGGTTTAGGTCTTAAATATCATAAAAGGTGGTCTTAAAAAGTCTTAAATTTAACTTGTTCAACTCTGCAGAAACCCTGTATATATGTTGTCAAATTTACCAGTTACCAAAGTTACCAGCACATTAATTCTCTCATGATGGTTAATGGTGCTAAACTTTCACACATTATACAGTTTAATTTTGAAAAATGATTGTATGGTTTATTGATGTCTTTCAGTTTCCCTTTGATCAGTGACTGTAGACTGCACATTTTGTTCAGTCAGCAAGAAACCATTCAACATGCTAGTGTACATCTTTTGTTAGGAAAGAAAGGGGAAGAGGAATGACTGTTTTCGATAAGGGAATCAAGTCTGCCCTCTTGCGGTTATGTTTGTTTACCAGTCTGACCTAGTTCAGTGCCCTATGACCGTAACCTTAACCTCTTTTGTGCTTTTTTCCATTTCAGTGACCATGAGGGTGGAAATGTCAGCGCACACACTAGTCATCTGGTAGGCAGTGCGCTGTCCGACCCCTACCTCTCCTTTAGCGCTGCTATGAATGGTCTGGCCGGACCCCTGCACGGACTGGCCAATCAGGTTTGAGCCTTAATGTGCTTACTTACATACAGGACATATGGTTATAAAGTACTAACCAGCGTTGCATTTCTTTAATGTCTTCCTGTGTCCTATAGGAGGTGTTGGTATGGCTGACAGCCCTGCAGAAGGAGCTCGGTGGTGAGGTGTCCGATGAGAAAATGAGAGATTACATTTGGAACACTCTCAAATCAGGCAGAGTGAGTGCCTTTGCTATTTCCCAATTCAATAGGAAATGCATCAGCACAAAAACTCAATGCAGATTGATCAAAATATGATGGATGATTATCATTCACACTGTTTGTTCTCTCTCGTGTCATTGTTCAGGTGGTGCCAGGCTATGGCCACGCTGTACTGAGGAAGACAGATCCTCGCTATACCTGTCAGCGTGAGTTTGCCCTCAAGCACCTTCCCAATGACCCCATGTTCAAGCTGGTAGCTCAACTCTACAAGATCGTACCCAATGTGCTTCTGGAGCAGGGCAAGGCTAAGAACCCCTGGCCCAATGTAGATGCCCACAGCGGAGTCCTGTTGCAAGTAAGAAACCAGAAACTATCCAGTAATTCATGTAAATTTGTGATTTAAAAGGTGATTTACCCAATTTACTTTCTTCATAAATATACTTGGTCCTATTACACAGCTGTTTTAAATGCTAAACATTTTCCCAGCCAATTGACATAATGTGCTGGTTTAATGTCTTGTATAACTAAAAATGTGTGTGTGTATATGTATACATACATACATACACACACACACACACACACACACATACATATATATATATATATATATATATACACACACACACACACATGTGTGTATATGCGCAATAAAGATATTTTAAAAACTATTATAATATTAGTATTATAATTAGATTATTAATGAAGAATAATTTTATTTAAACCTATATTTAACCTTTTATGTAAACTGACCAAATATAAAAATATCCCATTGAATATATGGCCGAACTGAATAGTTAGTTACCTGTTCCTTTTTGTTTTATCTATTTTTCTGCTTGCTCAGTTGAAATTCATCATGTTTTTACTCTTGTGTTTTGCAGTATTATGGCATGACTGAGATGAACTATTACACTGTGTTGTTTGGCGTATCCCGGGCTTTGGGTGTCCTCTCCCAGCTGGTGTGGAGCAGAGCGCTCGGCTTCCCTCTGGAGCGTCCCAAGTCCATGAGCACGGACGGACTCATGGCTCTAGTTGGGGCCAAATCAGGCTAGAGAGGGAGAGACCATGCCAGCGAAGTGGGGACAGGAAGGGGAGGAACTTAAAATATTAGAAACAAGACCCTGGGCTAAGGGATTTAAAGAGACAGTACACTTTTAAATTTCATCTAAAAAAAGGCCTTTATTAATATAACATCAAGATTACACATGCTATTTACACTTTATTAGTCTTTCTTCCCCAAAATGCATATTTAAACTTTCACGAGAAATGTGTAGACGCATTACACAGTCATTGCTTGCGGTCACTCTTAAGTTTTCCCGTAGATTTTTCCGACCGCATGACGCAGCTATGGATGTAGCGAGGTGGTTTGATGAAGAAGGCTGTGTTATTGTCCAAGAACACAGCCAAGAGTGATACGTCTTTCCAGAAATCACCTCTCCCCTTTATTTAAACTAATAATGTTTATTAAATACTAGTTCAGAAGAGTTAGTTCGCCTAGTATGTAAATAAAGCCTTTATCCTCAGCTCTCATAACAATTATTTCAGTTTTAGCCTTGTATTTTTACTCTCCTGAGATCAGATGTTCACTTGAGCCTCTGTTTGTATGAGGAAATGAATTGTCAACACCCTGCTCTGAGCCTCTGATAATTTGACGAAATTTGACTAGGCGTCCCTCTAGCTAACATCACGTTTCTCCTCGTAAGAGCACTCCATGATGGCAATACGGTCCTCTCTCAATAGAATTGATTCTATGAGTTCAGTTCAACTTGGGAAGCTTGTATATTTGTTTAAATGGGTACTGCCCCTTTAAGTTACCTCTCATATTGCTCTCTGACTTCAACCAATCGTCTTCATTTTCCTGTCTGTTGTTTGGAAGCACATGTGGTGCCCTCTTTATTTGAAATGACCAGTCCTTCTGAATTTCATCAGTGGACATATTGGCTTTGATTTGTTAAAGATTTGTCATTCACACAAGTGAGTGTAGTCGCAGGTGATTCGTGTACCAACTTGAGAGCAAGTCGAATTTGTGGCGTTTATTTGTACGTTCATCCAAGAGCGCTCAAAATCTGCTACTTTTTACCCGTTTAGAGTTTGTCTTTTTTTCCCGTGTTTTGAAGAATGATGTCTTGTATAGAGAAAAGCTATCATTTTGTGTAGGTATACATAAGTTGTGGTTTTATTTATTCATGTAAATATAGCTTGAATGTATGAACTGCATATCAAAACACTGTCTCACCATCCCTGTTAGTCAAACCACGTGTCTATGATGACTCGCTTAACCCTTTATTTTAAGTATACTATACCTTTAATTTAATTTAACACATGACTTGTACATGACATGTACTGCTGTGATGCACACGGGTCCTGCTCTCTTGCACGCTTACTCTTGGTTTTTTATTTTTTTGATAATCTAGCAGCTACTTTAGCTAGTCAGTCCATAAGCACTCCATTAACTCTATGGCACTTTTCCCCCAATCATCATTTCCTTCTCATCTAATGGCGTGAGAATAATTGTCCAGTTTGCCGTGGCCTTTTCCAGTGTGACTGTTTTCATCATGATGTACATGATTGGTTATGCTCTGTCGGGTTAATTTAAATAAGGAGGAATGTGAATATGGAGATGATTGGTTGAAGTCGGATTGACCAGGGGAAATGGGGAGGGGAACAAGAGAATGGGAGAAATGAGTCTGGATTGTTTGGGGAAAAAGAAGCTTAGGCGAACAAAAAAGAAAATGGGAAAACTTGACAAAAAAGGAAAACCAATAAATGTTTTTAACAAACCCTCTGGACTTTATATTTTCTTCCTCTTTTATTTTTATTTTTTTTAACATAACCCTTCACTCAGTGACGGCTTATATGAACAAGATTATTCTGTTATCAATCCAATTCGGTCATGTTCTACTATTCAGCTGTCCATAATTCAAATGCCAATGTAAAGTTATTAACCCAAGCCAAATAAGATACACTTAAAAACAAAGTTTCTTTATTGGCATCTGCAGTTCCATGAAAAACCTTCATCCATGGAACCTTTTCAATGCACACAAAAGGTTCTTTAGATAAAAATGTTTTTAAGAACTGTTCGGTGAAAGCTTCTTTGTGGAACACAGAATGGTTCTATGTCATTGCTATGAAAACCTGTTTCATAGTGTAGTTGATATATTGCCTTCCAATTCATAATTGTCATGTATTTGGAATATACATTTATATTTGTACACATCCAAATTAAAGTAAATCTGGGTGCTACTTGTTTTAAATCAAACCATGTACCATATTTCAGTGCTAATTTTTTTTTTGCGAAGGCGCGTTGGGAATTAACAATGGAGCAGTGTTATTTTTAACTACAACTAAAAACATTCAAGTATTTTTCAGTGATTGTAATAAAAATTTGGGGGGGAAAAATACTAAATTGAAATACTAAAATTACATGCACTTAAGTAAAAGAATAAAGCTATATAGATGTAAAAGTTAAAATGGAGGGGGAAAAAAACGAATTCAAAAGGTTTAAAAAAAGCATCCAAAGAAATACATCACACTCACTGCCCTAGAATTTTTTTTTTTAAATATCTTTTATGTTCCACAGAAGAAAGTAATGCATACAGGTTGGGAAAGACATGTGGTGAGTAAATGTCAGAATTTTCATTTTTAGGTGAACTACTGTAAATGATGTGCACACAAACATGGTTATTGCTCAAATTATGTGCAGCATTGTCTCAATAAGATCTAAGCCTGGTCATTCTTTAACAAATCGATTTTAAATTCAGTTTTAATGGTGAATTTTGTTTAAAGATCTGCATGGAAACGATCTTCAGGTCAGGGCAGCTCTCATGCGGTTATAAATACATGACCCAGATACCACCACCTTCATCAGATTTCCTCAACCTCCACTGCTGGTTTCACTTTGTATTTTTTGTTCCCTGGTACTGCATCACTGTTAACGTTTTCACAAGTACCCGTGTATCTCCTCAACATAGGATTCAATCATAGAACTACCACTCTGAGGTAAGAAACCATGTGTACGTCAAGATCAAATACATCATAATTCAAAGCAGCAAATCGGCCTCCTAATGAATCTCAAGCAGTTCAAGTAAAACAGACACAAAATATTTGTTTGGAAAAATGTACAGATTCTCAAAAGAAATGCTTGTGCAAGATCATAACACTGACGACAGGCTTGAACAGACAGACCTTTGCTCTTATGAAGCACTGCTCATCTCTTTGGTTCTTATTCACAGTCCTTCAACCAAACATTCTGACTTGACAGACATCTAACAAGGTGTTTTTATGACAAACCCAGGAAATCTACTGACGGTGATGTTATTTCCACGGAAGACTCTTAGACAGGTGTTCGATACAGCACAAGTAAATTGCCAACCAACAGCTTGACAATTACATTATTTGAAGTCATTTATAAATGCCATGAACACTTACATAAGGCATTGAAATGGCTGGAAATAAAATCTCATAAAATAAATGTTGAAAAAAAAGAAACCGCTATGCTTGTATCTGATGCTTCGCCAGCTCATACTGTAGCTTTTCAAGAAGTCACAAAACACAAATACAGTAGTGTTTAAACATTAATGTAGCAACAAAACCGAAATGGCACAGTCTACATGAACAGGCACAAACTGGGATCACTATTAGGGAACAACAGGTTGAGTTCTTACATTTCTTTCCTTTGAATTTCTCCAAAGCCCTGAGTTTGCATGAATGCATCCAAAGCAAGCAAAAGCATGCTAAATATAATTCTTAATTGTTTTTTCATTACAATACACTACTTCTATTAACAAAAGATTTTTTTGTAGTCTATGAGGATAAATATTTAGGTGAGAGAAACATTTGAGGTCACTAACTGCATAATTCATTTTTATTATATTTACAGTTGTGTTTGGAGTCACAAACCCCCGACTTCTTGAGATGAATATTATAAATTCAGTGCAATGTGGAAATCAAGTAGGTCTGAATTTTCACTATATTAATATTTAGGTATATGAAGATTCGTTTTAGAAAGAATATTCTGGGTTTATCTGTGCCTTTTGCATGCCGTTGATTACCACACAAAATAATATTGACTTAAAACCATAAAAATCATCAACAGCTGCCCATTTGCAAGGGGAAAGTAAACAATGGTTGTGCTGTACATGTTTTATTGTTTGTTAATAAAATCTGAGGTACAAATCAAAACAATTTTGTGTGGTAATCAACAGCGTGCGACAGATTTCACCTCAAATATTCCTTTCAGTTTCAGTAATCAGTCAGATTTGGCCCCAATTATCTCGCAGCAAGACAAAACAGGTAAACCAGATGAAACCCTAGTGAAACGTCCAAGTGTCCGTTTTTTGAACTTCAACTTTCAAATCTTACCAGTCAGGGCTGCAATAATCAATTAATCTTCATTCACATTCAAAAAGCAAAAAAAAAAAAAAAAAAAAATGTTTTAAAGGAACAGAACCTCAGATGAACTAAAATCTTTTTC